GGCAAAAAAAATGATCCACAAACAAACCACAAAAAAAAACAAACAACCGAAGCAAACGAGAAAAAAATTCAGACAATAGAACAACCTATCTGTTGACGCGTGCCTCGAACCTTGCTATGAATACCACTTGTGTGGAGTGCCCGAGGATGAGGCCGACGACGCTGACGCGGACTCCTTCGAGCTTTCCTCCAGATGAACCAACGGAATATGAAATATACAACTCGAGAAAAACAAGAAACGGAGGGTTAAATTCGATAGAAACCCTAGAAAAGGGAAAATGCTCAAAATGAAACCGATTTTCCGGCGCATCCATTCAACGTCTGTTGAACGGTGAAAGTAACTAGATTGCTCATGGAATGGATTTACACGGTAAGAAAAGTTCAAAAGAAATGATGGAAGAAATGCATCTGTGTAACAAGAGGACTTATCCGTATGAAAGCAACTGGTTCACTGATGAATAGAGCTCATCGAGAGGAGTGAAGATGTCTCTGTGATTGGCAACGTGGAGGAAAGATGTGGAATTCTCGAGATGTGAAGAAATGAGATCTGTTTTGTGGTGAATAGACGCGCAGAGAATGAATGCGAAATGAAGTGGTGCGTAGTGCTCGATGAATGAGGTGACTGACGCGGGACTGAATGGAGAGCGCTGAGGACGCATGCGGAGGTGGCAGCGAAGGAGAGGTAGTTGTGGGATGAAGAGAAAGCCCGTTAAATGGAAAATGGAAGGGAGAAAGTGTGTCTTGAAGGTGGCTAGAGGAAGTCTTTGGACTCTCTAGCCTATGACTTTCAAGAGAGAATAGTTTCTGATTTCAGAAAATTCAATTCTCATTAATCTCAAAAGTGCCCATTACAATAGAGAAGCTGGGTATTTATAGTAACCCATGCTCCTTACAAGCTAACCTATGAAAGGTAAAAATACGATAAAAAGGACTATATCGGACAGGATTACATCACACCATCTACGTCCACCTCAACTCCAGCATCCACCTCCTGTCCACCAGTACTTTCCAGCTCCACTCCACCATCTACATCCACCTCAACTCCACCCTCTATATGTACCTCCCCTACTTCACCAGATGAAACTGCTCTTTCTTCAACCTCATTTTTCACTTCAACCTCCTCCATATTTCCTTCATCACCACGCTCAATGTTTGGGGAGCCTACAATCCCAATACCCTAACCACTCCAACCAGGTGCTTCAGCTTCCCAAAGTAAATAAATTTGGTTCACATCATCTTCTACAACCTCTGCTTCGTCCATGCCATGAACAACAAGTCAACTTTCTCTAAAAAGTTTGTCACCTTCATCATATTCATTGCTCCTCTATCATCATATAGTTTATGCAACAAATGTTGTACGCTGTAATATAACTCTTTCACTTGAAGGTACCACAGATCTTTTAGTGCATCTACTATTTCAAAAAAACTCCATCTATCGGGATCAACATCCCACACAACAATCTCTCCATCTATGTAATTAAAGGGGACTTCTTTTATCAAGGTCCCACCATGGTGGACCACTATCTCAAATCTTTCCCCAGACATCCCAATCCCTACAACTCAAATGCAAATGGGGACCACTTAAATTACTTAACTAACAACAATGGGACCACTATGAAACCCAAAAAGCCGACAATCATCGTCACTGTCTTCAACCACCCAACAAGCAACAACTATAATCATATTTAAAACACAATACACAACGCATTACAAAATAATTCAACATACAATATTGACCCAACAAATTTATACCCCAAAAATCATCGTTAATCGAACAAAATATAATTAAACCCTAACCCTCAAATACAACAACAACAAGATCAACTTATTAGCCTTAGATTATGACCACTTACCTCACGCACGTACGCTGTTCCAATTTCACTTTGAAGGAATCACTAGCCAAAACCACTTGCAGCACAATGTTTTACCCAGAATTGCCCAAATCAGTCTTAGATAAGGGTAATTTAGTTTTAACCCCCACTTAAACCTACAACCCAAATTACTTCAATTCACAGTGTCACGTAATCATCAAACATAACAGCTCACTCAGATTTGCCATAGTGGCATCATCACCGTTATGTTTTTAACGACGTCCACAAAAAAGACAGAATTGAACATTTTTAAACAAAAGTAGGGACCTTACTAAACTTTTTCATAAGGTATGACCATTTTGAACCAAACCCCCAAAAGTAGGGACCAAATGATGTATTAAACCTATTTAAATCAACAACCTAATGACCTCAGATTCATTCTATTGTTTTTAACATGTTTTAGACCTTCCTTATGTATTTAACAAGTTGCATTTAACCCATCTAAGTCACCCAAACTGTATTATTGTGCTCTAGACCCCAAATGCCCAATTTCAGTACCTCACTTCCCTTGAACTAACCTAGACCTTCTGCCTAACTATTGAACCTGTTTACTGATGGACAAATTTATGATCACCAAAATATGATGTCACAAACTTGTTTTACAATCGGCAAGTATGACCGAATCGTTCAAGTAATAAACTTGGTAAGACCAAGTATCGTTCTCCCAAAGGACTCACGGCCTAGTTTAGTTGTGTGGTTTGTTGATTAGCTAAGACTTAAGAACGAAATAATTGAGGTTTAATATGCAAAACAGAAAATAAACATGTATGCATGAGGTTTTGATCAATGGCAAAAGCAAAAGACAAATACTTTCAATGAAATATATATATGAATATGTTGTTGGGGGTCAATTTCATCTCATCCACTCTCATATATTTTAGGAATTCAACATTCAAATCATCATTGTTAACGCCACTCTCTAAATTTTACCTTGTCAAGAAGGCCTATCCCTAATTACGAGTTCATACGATTCCTAGCATTCCTAATAATTAGTTCTCTTAGCACAGGAGCTTAACGACAACCAATATAATATTGGGAGAGATTCCCCGGATCTAGACTTCCCCGTACGTTCCCGTATCGACAAAATCAATAATCATGCATTGAATGAGTTAAACAAAGCAAGCATTAAACAAAGAGGAAAAACCCTAACTAATGATGAAAGAAAGCATAAATCTTAGATTAAGATGCAAGCACAAATTCCATATATGAGAGCTTCAAAAGATTACATTGATTCCCCAACAAACATACAAGGTTTAGTTCACCATATTCATGGTGAACCTAGATGAACAATGAAAGAATGAAGGATAAAACCCTATAAAGGTGAAGAGGTAGCCTGAGCATCCAAGATCCTCCTTCAAAGGGGTGGAAGAGAGAGTGTTTGCTTCGTCTTTGCCAAAGATATCAACCCTAAGACATCTAGGTCTTTAAATAGGACATAAAAATAATAGAAAACGGGTCCAGGCCCAAACAGATCATAAAATCGCATAAGACTGGCCCAAAACTCGTCTGGTTGACTTTTTTCGTATTCTGGTTGACTGGTTGACTTTTTTGGTTTACTGGTTGACTTTTCTGATTGACTGATTGACTTTTCTGGTTTCTGGTTGACTTTTCAGCACTCCAATCATTCGGTACTTCAATTCTTCTTTCAAATCATTCAATTAGCCTACAAAATCAAGGGAATCTTGCACAAAACCATTAAATTCACTTTCAACTCTCTTATTCACAAAACTAAAGCAAAAATATGAGTTCAAGCTAGTTTCTAAGTCTTAAAGGTTGCTTTTGGTATCAATTTTAAGCATAAAAATAACGGTTTTTCAACCGTTATCATTTACCAAATTGACACTAAGTAGAAATCTCACCCTATTCCCTCCGTACATGTTCTATTTACAGCCCCTTTCGTTCATCCAAAAGGATTCCCAAACAAACCACTACAGTCTCATCAACCACACATTTCAGTTCATAACATCCAACATGCTTAAAATATAAAATACAATCCAACAACACATCAGTGCAGCAGTCAACATGCATTCATTTACAAAGTAGATTCAAGAAATAATTTCAAGAAAACAATTAGCTCCCCTTACCTTGGTGGTTACAAGTACAACACTTTAGAAGAAGCCCTGAAATAGTAACCCTCGCACAGAAAACAAGTTCCACAAAACCCGTCCAAAGCAGAAACTAATCGGATGGATGAGAAGCTCTCAACTCCGTGAACGAAAGAACACCAGTTATTTGACAATGTAACGATTGAAATGTGTGGATGGGTAGAGAGAAGGCAGAGTAAGAAGGAGAGATCAAAGTTTAGAGAGAGAAGGATAAGTTGGAAAATGAACTCAGATTGGAAAAAACCCCTTCTAAGATCATGGTGTCCTTAGTTTTACAGGCTTGCCTGCCCCAACATAAGGCCCAAAAACCCTATATTTTTCAGGCCTTTACATTAAGACATTTTTTTAATAATATTTTGATACAATATAGTGTTATTTTTTTTATTGAATTTAGAATATTTCACTATAATAACATATAAATAATAAATAAGTAAAAAATATATACATATGATATGATGTTAAATGTTGTCAAAATAATCTATATTAAAATATATTTTTGCTATAAGATAAAACCACTTTTTCGTCAATCCTCTCTTCTCTTTTTCCTATATTTTCTCCTCCATTATACTTCTTCTCTTCATTTATCTCTACTCTTTTCCCGACTTCTTCTCATTCAATTTTCTTCTCATAAGAACACAAAAAAGACCACATAAAAAAGGAAGAATCCACGTAAAGGAAAAGAGTGTGTAGCTATTTAGTAAGAAAAGGGAAGGAAAAGATATTGAAGAGTAAGGTATCTTTTTCCCTTCATCTCTTTCAGTTATCATGACATGACTCTTTGGATATCAGAAGTTATGTATCTCATTCATCTTTTAATAAATAAACTTGTATTCTTTACACGTAATTAATTCGTAAATCTAAATTTAATTTTAAAGACATACTTTTTAATATTGTTTTTATAAATCTTCATAATAAACGCGGACTCTTTTATATTTTGAATCCTGTAGTAACACTGTGACATATATACAACAAACACAAGTTTAGATTGCACGGTAGAATCACACCGACAGAATAACACACTAAGATTTGCGGACAATAACATGATACTATCTCATTGATAAGATATTAAGCATATTACAAACATGATTGTGCACAAATTTTTATTCCTCAAAATCCAGCATTCATAATTTATTGTGAACAAGATCACTCTCAATGTCACTCAAAGAGATAAACTTGATCATATCCTTTCCTGCAATTTGCAAAAAGAAACCATATAAAAACTTTGTCATGTGCTAGCCAATGAATAACAGTGACAAAGATAAACTTACCCAGCAACTCCACCATAGCTGGCCTTGTAGTTGTAGATCAGATTGTCTCGCACTGCTTGATCATCAGGTCTGTTTGAGGATTTCCTAGCTTCACTGCAAATTCATGAAACACACACATATTAATAGATAATTCAATAACTAATAACACGATTAATTCAACAAATAACAAATGTTATTAAAATCAACTTTAATTCATAACTCTAATTTTATATTTAAAAATAAATTTTAAATTTAACTTAATTTAAATCAGTAGGAAAAAGAATTAAAGTATGTGTTCTGACCTCACGAAGAAGTTTGCAGAGGACTGAGTAACACGAATTGCATTCTCTGTGTGAGGTGCTTTCAAAGATGTGGCCCATTCAAAAGCATTTTTCTGCAATATTTGGTAAAAAGGTGCAATAATATAGTTAAAAGAAATTAAATTATGAAACTGAGAGTTAATAATAAAAAAATATATGTTTATCTTTTAAAGCAAATTTATAAATTACCTCTGGGTTCCATAGGTTAACAGTCACAGGATAGTTCCATCCACGTGCTGTGGAGACAAAAATCTAAAATAATAATTAATGCTAATGTTAGAAATTTTAACCGGACAAGTTAGAAATTTTAACCGGACAAGTTAGAATACGAAGAAAAATAGGTTTAAGATGAAGAGAAGACAAATTAACAAAACATTAAATTAATCAATACCTTGCCATCTCTGTCTGCGGCTGTTGCCAAAATGTCAAAAAAGCTGGATAACTTTTTATTATATTGAAGCTTGTATGGGCTTATGGCATACTGTCATGTAAATTAAGGAATTGTCAAATCTATGTAGAAAATAATTTCAGATTTTTTGTTATTAAACATTTAAAAATACATTGACTATATATAATAATTGAAGCCTCAAACTATATAACAAGGTAATTGATAGGTATAAGTTGCCTTGATTTCGAGGATCAAGGAGCCTCCTAGAATTAACAGAGAAAGATGATGAAAATTCTTCTTTTTTTTTCTATTCATTTCAAGTTTGGGTATTTAACAATGTTCACGTTACCAATGATTGGCTACCCGTGAATTGTGGAAACAGAAAGCATCAATAACAGAAAGTACAGCTCAGCAAATATAGTGAATACTGACAAAATAGAAAATACTAGAAATCTTTCTACTTGGTGATGTAGTCCTGGAGATAATTTGGCATATTGTGCTCCCTACTAGGCCTCTCTCTCATATTTCCTCTGTTGTCATTGCTAGGCCCATTCAACACATCAGAATTTGGGCCAGAGCCTATATTGCTATCAGTAATTGAGAACACAAACTCACTATATGATTGTGCAGGACAAGACACTCTGACATCAGCAGTTGAAACAAATCTGAAGGAAATCTATAGAAGAAAAAAAAGAGGTTAAACTTAATCTTTCATTCTAACAAAATGAAATAACAAATCAATGAATTTGTTGAAAAGAATACTTGTAAATTATGAACTGAAGCATTTACAAGTTTATAGAAGTTCATTATGGTTCTGCTCTTTCAATGCTTCTTTTGAGATTGAAAATTTATAACGTATCTACCATTGAAAATTTATAAAACTTACTTTTGATATATACTTCCTTCTTCAAGTGAATTAATCCACATTTGAAGATAACTTGGTAAACTCGATGCGTTGAATGGTTCAAGAACATCAGCTTGCTGTTTCCAAGGAAAACCAGAAACATGAATACAACACACCACAAAAATATAACAAAAATCAAAAGAGAAAATTAACTTGTGTGAGTATTTTTACAATAATTTAACAAATAGAAAAAAAAGACGATGTTAATGATAATGAATAGTTTAAGGAAATAATTAAATATATTTTCCATCCTTAATCTATCTACAAATATGTGTTTATTATCTAAACTAACCTAAATATATATTTCCGTTCATACATTTTAGGAAAATAATATAAAATATTCTTTTCAATGTTTTCCATGTAACAAATAAAGTTTTACATTATATCAGTGATGAAACTGAAAGGTTTATAGAAGCCTTGACTACTCCATTTATATATATATATATATATATATATATATATATATATATATATATGTATATATGTAAATTAATATATAATTTTTTTTTCAATTTTACTATATTTTGTGTATTTAACACTCTCAAAAATGTTAATACATTTTTATCTTGACATTTCAAAATACTTTACGAAGAAGATATGTCACTAGAACAAATTATAATATAAGTTTTATGTGTTGAGAAATATATTTTATATAACTTTAATAAAATATAAAAGCAATAATATATAAATTAAAAAAACATATTTAACATATAAAATATACATTTGACAACCCCTCATGTAAAATGATTATAACTTACATCAGCTACTGTCTTTATTAGCAGGTTTCCACCTAAGTTGAGGCCAAGAACTGGGAAGTGGTCCCCACCATCATTTCTCTCTAAAGCAGCCTGTCCACACAAATAAAATTCCATAAATTATTTTTAAATTATACAAACTAATTTCATTCATAAAAAAAATTTAGTTTTTTTCATATTCTATGGAGCAAACATGTATTGAGAGAGAGAAACGTGTACAATGAATGAGCAAATTCAGAGTATGAAAATAAATAAAATATTACAGATTAACAATTATTATAATAATTGTTAATTATAAGAATATAATAATGCCTTGCCTCCCTCGTGTATGTAAGGTGTGTAAATATAAATAATTAATCAATATTTAAGAAGCATTATTCAACAAATAATCAAGGCACCATAAGATCTTGACAATAATCCCTAAGTAAAAATAAAATAAAAGGAAAATAATTTACAGCATTATAAAACAGAATTGCTAACAAGTTTAAAAGAAAAAAAGATGATAAATAGCATGTAAAAAAATGTTTTATTTGTATGGATCTATTTAGCTTAATTTATAGAAAATATTAGTTTAATTCCTGTTTATTTATATGGGAAGATTATGTTTGCTGTTATTTTAATTTAAAAATAAAAAATATTCTCACGATAAGCATCCCTAAACTTGCTATCACATTAGCTTTGAGGAACAGATTACAAAAATATTTAAATAGTTTAAAAAAACTAAACTTTAAGTATGTAATTAATTTTAAATAAATTAACATTTACATAATTTCTTAGTCTTTTTAAAAAATATTAAAATATACATAAATTAGAATAACAATACAAAAAATAAAAACATTAGTTTTTATTGAAAAAAAAGATAAAAAATAGTTATTTTTCTTTTGAAAAAATAATTTTCTATTTTCATCTATTGTATCTTTCCTCACATCACAAGTTAGATGTTGCAAAAATATGGATATTTTGTTAGCAAATATCAATGCTGAATAAGGCTACTAAATCAAAAGGTGATATATATGTTTTTGTTTGAAAATCAATTCCCACAAGTCCCTACTAATTAAAAGGATTTTATCCATGAATCTGAATATTAAAATATAAAATTATGGATCAAAGTTAATCAATGCATCTTGAAAAGTTTTTATAAAAAAAAGAATTATTTACCTGAAAAAGAAATTGAAGAGCTTCGAGATATGGACCTGATGCAGCCGACCCACCAGTGAGGAGCAGTCCATTTGTCAAAGACAGTTTCTGCAGCAAATAAAACCAATAATGGAAGATCTCAACTCTATTCTTCACTTTCAAATACATATATTAAAAACTACTATTTCAACTCTTAAAAGATAATAAATTTATAAATTTCTCTCTTATACATTTATTATCTAATGTAAATTATTTTACTCAGACTAATATTTTCTTAATTTTGTTGTTTTAATATACACTTAAAAATTTGTGTTTTTTTTTCTTCATAAAAAAAACTAATTTTTTTTTTGTAGAAAAATACTTAAAAAGTATAAAATCATACAAATCTTACTTTTCATTTTGTAATTTTGTAATTTTTTTTATTTATAATGGATGTCTATATTCATAAGTCTCCCCTTGTTTACCAAATTAAACTCTTTAAACAAAATTTATTATCCCAAATATGTAATATTCGGCAGCCAATATATAATGATTTAAAGAGAAAAATAACAATTATTAGTGATATTATACATTTTTCACGGATAAAATTGTAAATTAGTTCGTAAATAAGCTGTAAAGTTTATTACAACTTCCATCAACAATGTGTTGGTCATGAAGCACACTTTTATTATTAAGTAATTTTTGTATGGATTTTAATTTTTAATTGATACTTCCCGTAGATTCTTTTTATATAATCTATTTGAAAAGAAGAACATCACATTAATTAATTTTGTATTAACTTGGTATTAATTATCCCTTATGTATTTTGTAATAATATATTTTTGGCGTGATTTACCGTCTTAAGGCTCTCCGGTGACTCGTTGTAGAGAAGAGGAATAACTCTAGCACCACCGGACTCCACGAACTTCACGTAGGAGGCCGCGATGTGTGAAACGCCGCTGCTGTTGCTGAGGCGGCCGGAGGATCCGTCGCCGGGATTCGACAGGATTCCGATCACCGGCCGCTGGTTAAGGTTTGGGTCGGGTGCCGTGCATTTGGAGGACGAACTCGATGATTTGTCCCGGTGGAGCTGACTCGGCAATAAAATGTGGTCATTGTCAACAATGGCAGCGGCAAGGCATGTGAAGAGAGTAACGAAAAAGAAAAGGCTGAAAACACTTTTGTTTTCCATGGTGCAGAAGGGGACTGATGTTGGAGCTTGAAGGAAAATTGGGAAGATGTTTGCTTATTTATGGTTGAAATTGTCACGTGCCAACTATTTGGTGGGCCACATGTAATATCTCTTAAAGATAAGGTAATCTTTTTAGGATTTTACATTCATTTTATAATTGAATTTTATAAACTTAAATTAACTTTGAAGTATGTTTTTTAAAGATTGTATCCTCTCACGTGTTCTATTCATCATATTCATAAATTTGTTTCCCACTCATATGAGTATGTATGATGGAAAACCGCAACGTGAAATAACAATATTGGTAATAAAAAAGTTGATTGAAATTCAATTTACATTCTCAATTGTGAAAAGTGACACTAAACACCGAAAAATTCACTTAAAATTTGGTTGTCGAAGAAACCAAAGTTCTAACTCCTCGTAATATCATAGACTACTGAAAGGTTATTTTTTTTAATGGGTCGAGTCACCTAAGTTTATACTATGTTGTTTCTATTCGGTCTCTGTAAGATTTTTTCTTTCGTTGTTCAAACTGTTTGGAAGGATATCTGTCAAAGGTGTTCTGATGCTTAATCCAGTAATGGTCCGATCGGTAAGTTAAACGCTGTAATAAATGCGTAATTAATGAATCTGTCTACCTCTTATCTTTGACCTGTATTTATAATTTTGGTCATGGGCATTGAATTTGACTTGCAAAAAGCTTTTCTTGAATTGATTGATGAATCTGAAAAATTGAATGTTGCTAATAAAAATTTGAAAAAGGAATTTAAACAATTGCAAATTAAATATGATAAGGCATTAGATGAGGAAGTAAGTTTGAGAAATAAAATTTGAAACTTGGAAATGAAAGAGTCTTCAAATGTTGAACATCTTGTTGAATGTCTTTCATGTAAGAGTCATATGATTGATATTGATATTCTTGAAAATCTTCTTGAAGTTGCAACTAGAAATAATAATGTTGAAATGCTTATACCTGTTAAAAAGGTTTATAAAAATAAAAGTGTTTTTAAAAGTAAGAACCAAATTAAAAGAACCCGTAGGGTATGGGTTGAAAAAGGAACTGTGTCTTATAGAAACCCAAATGTTGTCACATACTTTTATTGTATGAAAAAGGGGCATACTTCTAACAAATGTAGAATTAAACATTTTGATGTTCCAAATGGAAAATTTGTTTGGATTCCTGTTATAAAGTAAATTGTCTCTAACCTCAAAGGACCCAAATGAGATTATGGGGACCAAAACTCTATTGTTTGGTTTTGCAGGTTAATTTTTCAAAAGGAAAAGAAGACTCTATGGTCTCCTGGTATTTTTTTAAGAGCTTTGAAATACTTTATGAATGTTAGATGTGTCTTAAGTTGAAAATTTGGCCAAAATTTGTGTTTTTCGGAAATTAACGCAAATAATCGATTATCAAGGGTAATAATCGATTATCTCGTCCTCAAAAATTTGGATTTTGACAATTTGGCTCGCACATAATCGATTATTTAAAGTAATAATCGATTATCTTAAGTCACAACCCAAAAAAAAAGTTCCAAAAAAAAAATTTCAAAAATTTATAAGGAATCTGTCTTTGATTTTTAAAGGGAATATTACTTTTAGGGGAGTAATTTTTAATGAATTAAAAGGACCCAAATTCTTTTTAAGTTAACAAATTTAGGGGGAGCATAAGGATTAGATGTTTTTATGATTATAATAAAAAATGGGGAAATCTATTTTTGAATGACATATTATGTGAAAACTGGTACCTATATAAGGGGAAGATATATGAGTTTGTTAGATATCTTGTTTTTATCTCTATTATGGATTAATTAATATTGTTTGTACTTCTTAATTAGAGTTGAATTTCTGTTTTGAAATGCATCAATTCTTTTGTTGAGGGGGAGAAAAATTTGAGGGGGAGTTTTTCCACTTTTTTACTTTTTGCTTATGATAAAAAAGGGGGAGAAAACTTCTAATTTAAGTAGTGCAGTTATTACTAACATGTTTGTGAGTATGAAATCTGTGCAGGAAATTAGAAATGCTTTTAACAAGAAGATATTTTTGATCATCATCAAAAAGGGGGAGATTGTTACCAATGAGGAGCATTGGTATCTTGAAGCTACTGTGAAATTTTGATGATGATAAAAGCTGAAGAATTGAAGACTCTAAATGCATCTTTTGTTAAACGCATTTTGTAGAAACAAATGTATAGGATAAAATGTAATGATGTAAAATCTCTTAGAAATTTTCGTATTTAGTGAGTCATTGCACAAATAATCGATTATCAAGAGGAATAATCGATTATCACGAGCCAGTTTAGAAGAGAGTTGCTTTAAGGTACAAATTAAGTATAAAATTAAAAGTTTTTCAACTGTTATTAGATGACATTCACACATGCCAATATTCAACCTTGCTCTCATGTGTCGGATATCACCACACATCGAGCCGTCTTCATCTATTGTGTCCTCAGAAGATTGAACATTAATGTGGGGCAGGTTATAGAAAATGAAATCAAATAGTGTGCTCATGCTGTAAGTAACAAATCTCCTCTGGGGAACCCATCTCTCATTACATATCTTTGTGAATTAGTAGGGGTCAAAATATTTACTCCTCCATTTGAGAGACCGAGGAATGAGATAGATGCCTCATATCAGCCTCCCAGGGTCCACAAGAGACCCCCGCCTGCTCAACAAGATCCATTTTAGATGGGAGACATGTACATGGCATTAGTGAATGTCAGGTTTGATGCATTGTATAAAGGACAACATGCGTTATTGAGGAGCATGACATTCGCCTTTTCTGAGCGTCAGTTTATGTCTTCAGACAATTTTTCAGTCTATGTTGCATGGCCTGGGGCCAGGCCCAAGCTAATGGAGGAGGTGGCAAATCCAGAGCTGCAACCATGGATGAGGATGCAGATGATGATGATGATGAGGATGTAGATGAAGATGAGGATGAGGATGAGGATGAGGATGAAGATGAAGATGATGATGAAGACTTAGATGACAGTAGAGGATGATGAAGACTTAGATGACAGTAGAGGATGATGAAACACCAACATTTACTGATGGATGCTACTAGATTAGGATGTGTCGTTGTCTTTATTTTTATGCATGTTGAACTTTGTTTATTTAATTTTGATTTTAGTGAGTCATGTACTTGGTTAAATGGACAGTATGCTGCAATGGTTTTATATCAAGTGATAAATTGTTTTGTGTGATGATGAGAAGTATGATTGGCTTGTGTTTGCCTTATTGTTGTGAAAGTGATGTTGAGATATAGATTGCTTTAGAGTTTAAGCATAAATGGTGGTTGCTCATAATTGTTAAGATAGATGCATGGTTTCAATTGTGATTAATATGCTTGGCCTGATGTTTATCAAATTGTGGAACCTTGAGTTAACTTATGAGATGTTGTGCCCTGGAGTTTTTGTTGATTGAATGCTATTTCTTTGGAATCACAGTTGATTTTGCCTGAGTTTCTCTGTTTGAACAATTTTCTTGCTTGTTACAAATGATCAAGGCCATCTGTTCTTATTCCTTGTAAGCCAATGCCAAAATTTTAACCCAAAAATTTGTTTTATCCTTTGAACCTTGAGCCTAGTGTGAAAAAAGAAATAAATAATAAAAAATAAATACCCTTGAAATTCTTGCCTTGAATTGAGTAGAGTATGCATGTGTGGTATATGAGAATGGTTCAAGTTTGGGGTTGTTGGGTTGTTAAAAGTAAAAGAAAAAAAGAGCATTGAGCAAAGTGAATAAAGCAAGAGAAAAGCAAAACAAGAGAAAGGTCAGCTCAATGCATAAAAGTTGGGATTAAGTTGAGAAGTGATTTCTCAAGTGAAAAGTAGAAAGAGAGATTAATGCTAAATTATGAAGTAATTGTTCACTCTTAACTCAAGGAACTTTGTGGTATCCAGAAAAACCGGTTTTCTTCTTAGCCCAGCCACAATACAAGCCTTAAAAAGTCCTTGTGATGATAACTTGCTTGCGAATGTGTTTGATGTGTTTAAATGAAAGGCAAAGTTGAATTGTGTGACATTGTGATGGTAAAGTGAAACAGACACCTCACTATACACATTTGAGCTTGAGTGAAACAATTTCTTTCCTTGGTAAGGAATGGTTCCATGCACTATGGGATAATATTTTGCCTGAGGGTATCCAAAGGATTAAAACAAGGTGGGCTTCTTTGGCTAGAGAGGTTCAAGAAAAAAATTTCCTTTATCACTTCCAAACATGCATATCAATCAAGAATCATCAACAGAGTCAAGGCAAGGCATGTGTGCAAGCAATCAAGAGACATATCACACACAAGAAAGAACATAAAGTGGCTCAAATCTCACACAGGGTATCTCTGTCATAATCAATTCAACCTCTCAAACATGATAATCATCTTCCCAAGTAAAGAAAGGCAAGGATTTCAAGCCAAGTATCAATGAAGTGAAGGTCAAGTCTACAACCTAAACAAAGTCCATAAAGCAAGAGAAACATGCAAATATGTACACAAACACAACAAAAACAACCTAGAAAAGAAAAATTTAACACAGAAAACAAAAACTAACATTGAAAAATCACAATCTCCCCCAATAGACCACACTTAAACTATACAATGTCCTCAGTGTGTCACAAACAATAAGATCAACAATCATAACAGTCAACAGATCATGGACAAGTGCAATAAAAGTGGGGAAAGGAGGAGAAGGGAAAAGAAAACTCCCTTGAGTCAAGGTGGAAGTTGCCAATTTTGGACTATCAAGGAGATGTTCTCCACCATTGGATCCAGCAAGGAAGTTTTGAGGAAGAACTGCTTCATCCTCCGGATTTGATCAAGCAGGGAAATGTCTTCCATAGCTGGATCTAAGAAGAAGTGATTGTTGATGAGCGGGTTCAGCCGGTGCCTATTGATATTCAAGCGTTTGTGTATACCAGCACCTTTGTTCTCTATTGTGGGTGTTTGTTGGTCAAATTCATGTGTACCTCCTCCAACATGGTTAGTGCAATGTGTCCTTAAAGAAATGACATGCAAAGGTATTACACCCAATTTGA